GATAATATAATAAAGAATAATATTTAAAAAGTTATTGCAATTTCATTAGCGAAATACAATAAAATAATTAGACATAAAAATGAAAAAATTAATTGAAGATAAATTAAAGATATACTTACCTGCAAAAACAGACTACTAAATTTATTAGTAATTCGTTTGTTTTATAGATGAGTATATTTACAAAGAAAACTGCCGATAAATGGCGGGGGTGGTGGAGGGTCTCTTCAATCTCTTCTAAACATATATTGTTCATTTAAGGTATAATTTAGCAAAACCAAGCTATTCTCTCCGTAGAGAATTATATCTTAAATGGACAATATATGTTTAGAAGAGATTGAATTTATTAAAAGTCTCTATAATTGCTAGTAATAATTATAGTCTGCTATCTTGAGGATTTATACAGGATTTATACCACTACTTTCGACGATACGAATTTTATCAGTAATGTCAGAAAATGTATGTAGTCACGTAGCTCCCAAAATGAAAATGAATATACGGGCGATTGTAACAGGAAAAAGGCTGCCATGGCCTATCTCAGGTTTCTCTCTATAATAATAAACTATATATACATGAATGTATGAAAGTTGTGTTTCAAGCATTTTATTTTTATTAAATACATTTTTATAGTTTATTTACTTTATTTATTATTATTTTCTTATTACAATACTAAAATTTGAAAAACGTATAATGACAAAATTAATCTAAACTTTTTTTTGTATAAGTATACGTATCATACATATTAAACTTCAAGAATTTGTATCAAACCCAATCCTGGTAGCGAGCGAAGTTTCATTTATTGTTCAATCAGAAGGTTTCTCTCTGATTAAAGTGAGGCAGAGATCATGGCGGAAGGAGATGCTTAGTTTGGGCAAACGCCCCTTTTGCAAGCAGAGAGAAACTTGAGAGAGGACATGACAACCCAAAACCTGTAACCGCAAAATGTTGCCGCGCACTACTGCCCTTTGACAAAGTGATGTAAACTACATAGCAACATTCACTTTTCTTAGAATACATCATCCATTTTTCAAGGCTGGAGATAATAAATCAATAATTTCTGTTTTTATCTTTCAACTTGTAAAACTAAAATATTTCTTGTTGCTGCGAAATTCGTTTATTCAATTTCATTCATTTTCTGTAGATCACAAGTTCAATCACAAAACAGAGAGCTCCCTTTAAGTATGTAATACAAAGTATTTTTAACTATTTTCTTCCTGTCAGAATTCATAATAAAAGACAGATTAATCATTTACATGAAAATTTATTAAATCACACATAAAGTTTTTTACATGCTGATATTCCTAATCGGGTGATCACAAGCCATGCTAACAGAGAAATAGCATTCTCATGCTGACATGGCCAACTTAAGAAATTCTGGATTGGCCATAACACATCCTCTGAGAGAACAATAACTGGCTTGTCTTTATACATATACCATAACCATAATATTAATGTACCCTGAAAAAATATAGAGCTTGAAATTGCAAAAGGATAAGGATTAAATCTCTTAATTTCTCGCTACAATCGTATTGAATTATGACAGCAGGAAAAAATTATATCAATTTTCCTTCTTATATTATATATATATATATAATATAAGAAGGAAAATTGATGTAATTTTTTCCTATATATATATATATGCAAGATATTTTAATCCTTTCTTATGTCACTATTTGATCAATAAAATAATGAAATATATCGTGAACTGTTCCTTTAGTTCATGTGTGTTAGCATGCAAAAGTAAATTTATCTTAATGTATGACATATGAAAAAAAATTCATATGATTGTCCAGTAAACGAGAATGGATTAAAATGAATTGAAATTCTTTTCTATCCGAATGCATATTTTAAATAGCGAATACTTTTTTGGATTCAGTTGGATTCAATTAGATTCAATTGTATGCAATTGGATTGGAAAAACTACATTTCCTATTTAAAATTTTGAATTGAACAGTATTCACAATGTGTGTGTGTGTGTGTGTGTGTGTGTTGTGTAGCCAAGTTTTGTTGTGTACAGAAAAAGCTAATATTATATTTAGCTTGAAAAACATAGAAATATATTCCATGCAATTCCTATAAATGAATAAAAATGTATTCAGGATTGAAAAGCATTCATTTTAATATTCGTGAATCAATATTTCTGAAAATCTAAATCCATTTCAATTCATTTCAATCCATTCTCGTTTGCTGGATGTAATTTGATAATATGATTGTAGTGAAAATTTAAAATACTTGCTTAAGCAAGCAATATACGTACATTCAGTATACGAAAACTATAAATTAGCAACATCTGTAGTTTTATTTTCTGATTTAATCGTTGATTCACTATAAAAAAAAGGAAGATTGTACAAAGTTAGAGTATATAAAATTTTGTGATAAATAGGTAATAATAAAAAACAATCTTATATCAAATATATAGATCTTATTTCTATCAAAAACAATCAATTCTTGAATCCAACATTCATAAGATGGATACTTTCAGAGTGATAATCTATTACAAGTTTTCATTCGATAAAGTATGGAGGAAAAACTTACTATTTTCTTTCAGAATATTTTCCACATGATTATATCGACGTTGGAGCTTAGCACATTTGGCAAATTCATCCACCATGGAGAGTCCTGCCATATTTTCTTTCAAGTTACTCAATTCCTTTCGCAGCTCAATGTCATATCTTTTTTGTGCCAACATATATGATGAAATCTGTATTTAATAACAACAAAATATTAAGTTAAGTTATTGAGTTCGATACAACTTAAATCTTTGAATATTATTTATGAGAATACAAATAAATTTTCATCAACATTTTTAACATAAATATTCGAAAGACTTGCAAATAAAATAAAAAGTGATTCATTATGATTCATTTTACATCGTTGTCTTTAATAACAAGTTCCAATAAAAGTTTTAAAAAATTTAATATAAAGATAAAGCAAAGTATATTTTTCTAGAATACTCACAAATCTAATCAGAAACGGCATAATATTATCCAAAATACAAATCAGAGTGGATATCGCGAGTAAATCCATGTGTGATGTGATGTGAAAAGATAATTATACTAAAGGTTTAGCATAATCACCTTAAAAATCAATAAAATTAAACTTATTTGTCATGTTTTTGCATGAAATGAAATGATGGCAGAAATAATCATCGCTCTTCCTTACGAACCGAGATATTAAGTGTTAAGGTGCCTTTTCATGTTGACGTTTCATTGAACTATATATATTAGGTGTAGTAAAAAAAATCCATTATTTTTGCATGAAATTGAATGGAAAAATAATGGATTTCTTTTTACTACATCTAATATTAATATACACTGGAGTATCGAGTAAAATTCGTGGCCACAATTGATCAGCCATTTTAGTTAGGATATTTGAGCGAATCAGAAGCGTTCGCGCGCGTGTGAGATTGATGTACATTCGTTGCTATTGGATGATCTAGAAGAATACATCAATAGCAGCGAGCGTTCACGGATCTGTTCCGCAATAGTTGAGTCTGCTGAACGCGACCTATCTTATAAGTCTATGGCTATAACGTATCGTTGATATCATTTGTAGGGCTGTGTATATTTTCGGCTCTGTCAGTCTTCAGGCTTCAGGCTCGTACTACGGAAAGTTTGTCGATGAAAGTCAGCAGAATGAATATCACTTCAGCAGGTGAATCACCGAATAATTTTCTGTACTCAAATTGTGTCGGTCTTTTGTTAATGCGAGAATTTTATCGCGTTCGCACGAACTTTTGCACGATGATTTGCAATTCATGCAAAACTTAACCTCGTAATCCCTTTTCGATTATTTCGAAGCATCCATTTTTGACATGATACTAAAGAAAAATAATGAAACAAATTTTTTAAAAGTTTATTGATCAGAGTAAAGATTTATTATTTAATATTATTTAACATAGTCTATATGTGTTATTTAATATTTTATTATTTTTGTATATTTGTCTTATTTAATATTTATTGTAATATTTATTGTATATTAATTTTGTAATAATAATTTTTATTTGAAATACAATAAAAATTTTTGCAGCTGGTATAATCTCCTTATTGGAGGAACCGATGCCTGAATTGAAAGTCTTTGCCTTGAAGAAATTGGACATGATAGTTGACGAATTTTGGCCTGAGATTTCTGAGGCTATAGAAAAAATGTATGTATAGGAAAAAAAAACAAAAAGTATATTCATATATTATTGCTGATTTTATTTAGCGTTATTTATATTTTCATTTGTTCATTTTATTCTCTAAATGGATATCCTATTTATAGTGAGATTCTTCATGAAGATAAGTTGTTTCAACAACATGAGCTAGCTGCTCTAGTTGCTAGCAAAGTATATTACCATTTGGGAAGTTTTGAGGATTCGTTGACTTATGCTCTTGGAGCAGGAGAGCTGTTTGATGTCAATGCTCGAAATGAATATGTTGATACTACTATCGGTATATCAAATTATTATTAGTAGTATTTAATCAAGCTATTAATTTCAAGCTATTAATTTTTAATTATTAAATTTTCTAGCCAAGTGTATTGATTATTACACTCAGCAACGTGTTCTGGAGGCAGAAGGAAAACTTCCACCAGGTAGTAAGGGCATTGATCCTAGACTGGAGGGAATAGTGAATCGAATGTTCCAACGCTGCCTGGATGATAATCAATATCGTCAAGCTCTAGGTCTTGCCCTGGAGACACATAGAATGGATATATTTGAAGCAGCCATTATGCAGTCTGTAAGTTTTGCTATTGAATTTTCTTTTATACTTACAGTACATCGCATTCATTCCACTTAGATGTATAGTAAAAGTATTCATAATATACAAAATATTATTTCTAATGACAAAAGATGGATATCAGTATAAAATTTTATAATTCTATAAAAAAACCAAACATAAGTAAGATGTCAACTCTAAATTTTTTTTAATAAATTAATATAAAAAAATAATTTTGTGGACTCAAGAATAAATCAAATAATGCTATATATGAACTTCTGTGGTTGTTGGTGCATACATAATATATTTATAATGTGATAAGACAATTCGCGAACAATTAGAATAATTAACATTCTCTTTTTTCTTGTGAAATATATATGGATTGAAAATCGGAAGTCGAGATTCGTTAATTATTATATTGATTATAAGTGAACTATTCTTACATGGAACTACTTATGTTTGTCATTGATTTATATCTCTTATTTTATGTGATCTATATAGATTTATTTATAGTTTATAAAATAATTTGTTTGAAATTAAAATTAGACATGAAAACATGAAATTCCTTTTCTTCCAGGACGACGTGAGTGGAATGTTATCATATGCCTTCCAAGTGGCCATGAGCTTGATTCAGAATCGCGGATTTCGTAACACTGTACTCCGCTGTTTGGTCAGTCTCTATCGAAACCTCGGCACCCCTGATTACGTCAACATGTGTCAGTGCTTAATCTTCTTGGACGATCCACTAGCCGTAGCTGAGCTTCTGGACCGATTAAGCAAGGGTTCGCATGACTGCGTATTGATGGCCTATCAGATTGCCTTTGATCTGTACGAGTCAGCGACTCAGCAGTTTCTCGGTCGTGTTTTACAAGCTCTACGAGCCACTGCGCCAATTCCGGGTGCGTTGATGGTTAAACCGGTGGTTAAACCATCCACTACTACTGCTGCCAAAGCCACTGAAGCTAGTACAGAATCCACAAATATGGAGGTTGATGAGGAAACTGCTGCTCCCGCTGGAGAAGAAAAGGCTCAGCGCAGTGTCGAAAGTTTGGTGAGTGTGTTTGTTTTTTTAAGTCTGTAATTTCTTGTCAGAGATGTGATGACTTACGTATGCTGATGTATGGAATCTGTAGTTTTAACATTGAAATTAACATTGAATTTCGAAATTAGAAATTACGAAAGAAGAAGACAAAAATAGTCAGTCGTTTGCCAGAACTTTTCGAGAGATAACATTCAAATAAAATCTTATATCTAAGTGGACTTGAACACTTACTTCTCTTTATTAGCACTTTTTGATATTAATTATAATTGCATTATATTGATAAATATATTAATATTATATATTCATGAATATTAATTAAAAAAATTTTTTTTTTTTTTCTAGAATGCGGAAGAGAGGGAACAGCAAGAGCGAATAGATGCTTTGTCCAGTATTTTGGGTGGCGAGGTATCTATCGACTTGCATTTACAATTCCTGATTCGCAGCAATCACACAGATATGTTGATTCTGAAAAACACTAAGGATGCTATACGAGTTTCAATTTGTCACACTGCCACTGTCATTGCGAATGCTTTCATGCATTCCGGAACAACTAGTGATCAATTTTTGAGGTATGCATCTATTTTTTAGGACTTTATTTAGGACTTTAAGGCGTTTTTAATTTTTGATATTTAAAATGTTTTAGTTTTAATTTTATTTTTTAAATAAGAATATAATAAATAAAATATATTTAATCTTACCTGTTTTCAAATTTTTAGAAATTTTATTTGTTATGATTTTTTTATGTTAAAAAATAATAAACCGAAATATAGGAAATATGAAATGAATTCTTGCAGAATTTTTAATTTTTTGAAATTTTTATTTGTTATCTTTTAGGGACAATTTGGAATGGTTGGCTCGTGCTACTAATTGGGCAAAGTTAACTGCGACGGCTTCTTTAGGAGTTATTCATCGAGGTCATGAGCAAGAAGCTTTAGCCTTGATGCAGTCATATTTGCCAAGAGATTCTGGTGCCGCCGGTGCCGGATATTCCGAAGGCGGTGGTTTATATGCTTTGGGACTTATACATGCTAATCACGGAGCCGCTATTACAGATTATCTTCTAGGCCAATTAAAAGATGCCCAAAACGAGGTATATCGCTTTCGATACTTATTTTGGGACATTTTCTTAGGTTAAATTTCCAAATTTGTGTGTGTGTGTGTGTGTGTGTGTGTGTGTGTGTGTGTGTGTGTGTGTGTGTGTGTGTGTGTGTGTGTGTATATATATGTATATACACACATACACATGTGTATGTATATAATTATCTGTTTTTTATTAAATTAAATATTTGTCAAATTATATATAATAATATGACTAGATCTTTTATTAACTATGTGTAATAATTAAATTTTATACGATTTATCCTTTGAAATTTGTTCCAGATGGTTCGTCATGGTGGTTGTCTCGGCCTTGGATTGGCCGCAATGGGTTCACATAGACAAGATGTTTATGAACAATTAAAATTCAATTTATATCAAGATGATGCCGTAACCGGTGAAGCAGCTGGAATTGCTATGGGAATGGTAATGCTGGGGTCCAAATCAACGCAGGCGATCGAAGATATGGTTGCGGTAAGTTTAATGCATATTTTTTTTATAGTTTTTTTATCCCTCGCATTATTTTTTTATATTTAGATAATGTTTTTGTGGTAATACTTAATGATATTATTATTAACAATAAGTATTAAAAGACTTACTTTTTATATTATTTTAAATGCTTATTTTAAAATCTACTAAAATTTGTGAATGAAGAGAGAAAAAGATTTTAATCATACAATAAAAACAAAATCACATGAAATCACGTGTTATTTAAAAATCTCAACATCATGAAAAAAAGAATGCAAAAAATGGAGGTAAAGATTTGGGAAAAATAGACTTTCTGGCATTTATTTTATATTTTATTATATTAAAAGAATATTGTTTATTAATGCGAGCTATTGAAATAATGAAAGAAATACACTTAAATTGAGAATTTTGAGAATTTTGAGTGAATAAACCTGTAAAATAAACAGATTTAGTGTAAGTAAAGATTTATAATAAAAACAATTTTTTAAATAAAATAAGAAAAAGAAAAAGAAATATATACAAATTTAAAGTAAGCGTAAAATAATCAATCAATTGTTATCCAAGTGCAAACGGTGGTTCACTGGCAGTTTTCAGAGTGTACGTTCCATTTGCGCTGAAAATAACAAATGATAAAAAAAGATGATAAAAAATTAACCTGTCGATTATATGAAAGAAAACACGAAAGTTTCCGATATTTCTCGATTGATTAAAAGAAATAGAAATGAAATATTAGGAAAAATGATATCGATTTTGAAAGGAGATAAATATTCACATTGGAAAACAAAATAACACTATACTTACTTTGGATCGATGGATGGTCCTCCCATAAACACATCTCTGGCGCGAAAACCTGTGGGATTTGTAACGGATTCGATGTAATACATCTCAGCTCTTAAATGAGCACATCCCATCGCCTTGACATCGCCTACAAATTGTGGATTAATCAATCGTTTAACTAATATCTGTAAAGTCAGTAAGTTCACTGATATTGGCAAGACTTCATTTACCGATCCATTTGATCGGACCACATCCTGGTTGTTCTTCGCCGCCATTGGGATAAAAATCAGAAGTGCCGATTGCTGATTTTATGCCTACAAATTTCGTGCAGGTGTGTATCACTTGTACTAAAATCGCATCCGATTTGTCCACTCTTTCTCCTGGTCCGTTGGATTCGAATAAAAGTGCTGCAGGATCTAAAGCTGTAAATCAGAAATTTATTTCAATTTAGAATCAAGATAACTAAATAAAATTGAAATCTTGTCGCTGACTTACCGATTACCTCGGCGATTTTGCTAGCTGCGAAACGAGCGCTGAGACTCGCGATATGAGCTCCTAAAGAGTGTCCGATTATTACCGTTTTGTTAGGATCAAGATTTGCATTATTCTCCAGGAAGTTTATCAAAAAGGCTACGCGTTGTGACACGAGTGGCACACTTCTTACGGACATCAAATACGAATGATTGGCTGCGTCCCTCCAGTCGATCAGGATGATATTATAATCGCCAACATTAAGAAAAGCTAAGGATATTGACATGGTAGTAATAATAGAATGGACGTAATCATCGGGATACGAGACAATAAAATAATTCATGCTTACATAAAAAGATCAAATATTTAAATTAAGTTTAAGAACGTGTAAAAAAGATATTTCAAAAAGTTCGGAAATTAAATTGAAAATAAAAGCAGAGAAATAAGAATATTTTGTGAAATTCCATTTTGTGAAATCAAAGAACATTAAAATCAATAATTAAAAATGTTAAAAATTGAAGGGAGGAAAGGGGAAGAGAGAGAGAGAGAGAGAGAGAGAGAGAGAGAGAGAGAGAGAGAGAGAGAGAGAATTAAATAAATATATTATTCGAAAGTGGGTCTTGTTGTTTAATAATATTTTTTGTTTTTTTGTTTAATCTCATAAATTGCACTGATTATATATGTATATTTGTCGTTCTTTGAACGCAATCGACGCAATAGACTGAAGCTGAAGCTTATGTGAACTTGGATCTTCCTTATTCCGTGTGCGGATAATTTACATTTAAAAAAAATTTATACTATTATTATGCATCAAGATCCCACTTTGACCGAATAAAATATTTATTTGGTATGTCGAACATTTCTCAATCGATTTTCACTTAATATTGTTGAAAATTAGATCAAGGATCCAAAAAAGAAAGAATCCAAAAATAATTAAGATTAATAATAATTCTATACCGTCTCGAATCTGGGTGCAACCTCCATCGCAATTTCCATGCCATCCATGAGTGATGAATCGAGTGGGATGATTAGGATTCCAAAAACTCTTCTTTACACTATCCATATCATCGATGATTAGCTGCTGTCCAATTTTCGGATTGTTTCTAGAGAAGAAAAGATTCATTTAGAAGCGATATTTTTTTTGTAATTACAATGTTGCGTTAATATTTCAAACACATACTTACCGAGTGTACAAATAGAAGATGGTCTTTTGCACGGATTCATCGATCTCTTTGAGATCTACTTGTGTAAATTTAGGTTTGTTCGTATCGATTAGATTTGGTATTCCATGATCGTCGATGACAATTGTATAGTTTAAATTTGTCGCAATGGACACCAATAAAGAAGGATATACTATGCAAATGAAAGATATCCGTTTAAAATATTTTTCTAATTGTAAGAATCGTAAGATGAAATTGAATAGGTTTATGCAGAATATTTTTTTCTTTATGGAAATGCAATTTTAAGAAAATCTTTTCACGGATGTAACTGCAAGTCCAAAATTTTAATTTTTTTTCCACGACTACTTAATTGCGAAAATTTTAATTACGAAAGTAATTAATATTTTACGTACATAATGTAGTTGCCAGCGAAGTAACCATCTTGAAAGTAATTTTCACAAGTTATATTAAGGATTGTATATAACATTTTCTTTTATACTTCGTCGATAGACACCTATACCTATCTACTCGGTATGATTGATAAGTTATCGTTAATATCGATAGGCATCATAAATTACATAACGTCAATCACGTTTAAATGAATTAATTAAAATTAATTAATTAAAAAATTTAAACTAATTTTAAAAACTTTGCAAAAAATAATTAATGATTATAATCAGATATCCTTTTTTCGAGACAAACAGTTTCGGATAGAATGTTAGTAATACAATGTCATCTATCATCGGAGACAAAGAGAAGGATCCAAAATGTTGGAAACTTCGTTACACTACTATTACACTAATAAATTTAATTGTATGCGTTTACCTTGTTTGGCTTTGATTAGCATTATTATTGTTTACTGATTTATGAGTATTTCCTTTTTAACTTGTATAAACAAAACTTCTGTTTTGATAATTTTAATTATATTGATATCTAATGGCATGATAAAGTAAAAGTTTTTTTATTGATAATATAGTAATCATTGAAGCTCAACGAAGTGAGATGCAATTAAACTGTGATGATTTAAACAGTATTGAATCATGAAGGAAATGTTGATCATTTCATTAACATTCAAAGAGATTCAGAACATTCGTAATTTTTTAACACATATGCCCATACAGCATAGATCATTCCAGCAATATTACAGCAACATTATTAATGTCTCAGCAATAATTGCGTTAACATGGCAAACATTGCAGCAATGTTGTTGTAAGCTCATGTGCTACATGAGTATAATTTAAAAATAATTAAAAAATATTAAATATATAACAATAGTGTTTGTTCTGTTATCCATATTGCTATCCGAGTGTAAATGATGATCTCTCGGCAGTCTCCAGAACGTACTCCACATGCACTGCAAGTGACACAAACAATGAATGAATTAATTGTTTTTTTACAACAACTTTAGTCAACTTACACAAGTGGACAATGGATGATGCTTCGTTTAAAAAAAAAAGAATGTTTATTTTATATTAAAACTCACTTTGGATCGAGAGATGGTCCACGCATGAACACCTTTCCGGTGCGAAAGCCTCTAGAATTCAGGATGGACTCGATGTAGTACTCAAGAGCTCACATGTGCGCGCATGTTATTGCTATTAAATTGCCTGCGAATGTGGAGGAATTAATTATTTTTTAAACTTAATGAATCAATGTTAACTGATTGTAATGAACTTTATCTACCGATCCATCTGATCCGACCGCGTCCTGATTGCTCCTCGCCGTTAACATAAAAATCGGAAGTGCCGATCATTGATTTTATGCCCATATATTTTATGCAGGTGTGTTACTTGGACTAAAATCGCATCCGTTTTATCTACTCTTTCTCCTGGTTCTTTATACTCGAAACAAGATCCTCCAGGATCTAAAGCTGTAAATGAGAAATTTATTTCAATTTAGGATTAAGATAGTTAAACAGAGGGAATCGAAAGCTTCGTCGTTGGACTTACCAATTACTTCCCTGATCTTGCCATTCCCAAAATGAGCGCTGAGACTGGCGATATGCCCTCCCAATGAATATCCGATTATTGTGGTTCTATCAGGATCGAGACTTGCATTGTTCTCTAGGAAATCTATCAAAAGGGCTACGTATTGTGACACAATTGGCATACCTCTCGGATTTTGAATACAAATGATTGGCTGCTGCTCGCCAGTCTATCAGGATGATATTGTAATCCCCAACATTGAGATAAGCTAAGGATGTTGACGTGATAACATTGTTTGTTAGAATGTAAATTAATTGCCATGAATCGAGACAGTAAAGTAATTTAAGCTTAAATAAGGATATTACATATCTAAATTAAGTTTGAGAAACTGTAAAAAAAATATTTTAGAAAATTAGAATTACTGGGATTTATAATGATTTTATACCGTCTCGAATGTCAGTACAAATAGTTGAATCGCAGTTTCCTTTCCATTTATGAGTGATCAGTCGAGTAGGATGATCAGGATTCCAAAAATTCTTCTTAATACTATCCAGATCGATGAATAGCTTATTATTATTCAATTTCTGAATTGTTTCTAGAGAGGATGAGTTTAATGTGGAAGTAATAATTAACGATATTGCATCAGTATTTCAGATGTACTTACCGAATGTATAAATGGAATGTGGTTTTTTGCGCGTCTTTATAGATTGTATTGAATATGTTCAGTATGAATTCAGATTCGTTGATATTATTCGTGTAATTAAGATTCGTCGCAATGTACATCAAAAAGAAGAATATACTGCAAGTAGAAGGCATCTGTCGATTTATTTAAAATATTTCTCAAAGATGAAATTAAATATGGTGCAGACTTTTACGCAATTTAAAAATAATTTTTCTTTCATTATCACAAATCTATCTAATTATCACATATCTTAACATTTGTTTTTCTCGAATATCTAATCGCAAATCTACGACTTTAATCTTTTTTCTACAAATACTTAATTGCAAAATTCAAAGATCACTAATTCTTTAGATGCTTTAATGTAATTACGATCGAAGCGATCATTTTCCAAATAATTTTAATTTTTACATGATGTTAAAGATGTAATGTTAATGTAATATTTATTCAATGGCGTAATCAATAAGTCATGATACCAATAGCTAATATAAATCAAGCGTCAGTCAAATTTGAATGGAGATTAATTTAAAAAAGGTTGTAAATAATAAGTAATGATTATAATCGACATCTTTTTTCTTCGAGAGAAATTGTTTCAAATATAACGCTAATAAATATTAGGTGTACAACTTTGCTTCCGCCGTTTTTTTTTCGAGGCTTTATTGTAAAAAACTTATACATTTATGATTCAAAGTAATGTCCATCGCTGGCCACTACTTTTTCCCATCTTTCGGATAGCGTACGAATCCCGCGTCGAAAAAACTGGTCATCTTTTAAGGCTATCCACGAATCGATCCAATTTTTTATTTCTTCATAAGACCGGAAATGCTGGTCAGCCAGGCCGTGTGTCATGATCGAAACAAGTGATAGAGGGAGCAACGTCTGGAGAATACGGCAGGTGGGGTAGGACTTCCCATTTCAACGTTTCCAAGTATGTCTTGACTACTTTCGCAACATGGGGTCGTGCATTGTCATGCTGCAAAATCACTTTATCGTGTTTCTCGTTGTATTGCGGCCGTTTGTCTTTCAATGCTCGGCTCAAACGCATCAATTGCGTTCGATACCGATCGCCTGTGATTGTTTCAGTCGGTTTTAACAGTTCATAATACACTACGCCGAGCTGGTCCCGTCAAATACAGAGCATGACGTCAAAATCACCGTTCTTGAAGCGTTGAAACCACTCACGACACGTTCTTTCACTAATAGCGGCCTCACCGCTAAGTATTTGAGAGTATTCGATGAGCCTCAGCCGCAGATTTCTTCATATTGAAGCAAAAAATTAAAACCTCCCGATGAAATGACGAGAATTTGGCTCGTAAACTGACATTTTCAATCGAGAATAACTTTATGATGCAGACACAAATCGACTAATGTTTCTATGGGGTTATGTTGACAGATGCCCAAGTTTATTGTATGACTTCTTTGATCTATTTCGACCACCACTTACCGCTAAAGCCATCTATAAGAAAACGGTGGAAGCAAAGTTGTACACCTAATAATAATAATAAATAATTAATAATAAATAACGCTATAAACAGAACTTTTATTCTGATAATTTCAAGTGTTCTGAAATCTAACGGCGTGATGAAATAAGAATTTTTTTGTTGATACAACGATAATATAGTAATTGAGGAAGTATGATGCAACTTCAATAAAAAGACAATTTTTCTGATATGAATACTATGTAATTGTATAAAGAATAATTTTGTTTGACACATGAAGATGCGAGATCGAAAAAGAATAGTTTTTTTTCGCGAATGCAACTCGATTAGTTACAGATATGATAGTTACAGATCTAATATCAACATTATCAAACGTCAATATTAGACATTACCATGTTAGCATTTAAGAAACAATATTGTCTTTGTGAATACGCGACTGTAAAATTTGAGAATAATGATCTTTTATGTACGGATTGTAATCGCTGGTGGAACCATCTTCTCGAGTAGTCGACACAATTCGTGACACACGTTGAAGAATTCCGATTTTTTGTAACTTATCAACAGATATTTCACAATGTCTTCGATAAGCCGATGATTAACAAGAATCAATTAATGTGTCATTAAAAAAAAAAGATTAATTAATCCCAGACATTTTATGATTACAGTTACAGGATGTTAGCATATAGGTCTCAAAATTCACGAATCAAAATATCATAGCAATAAAGTTCTCGAAAAAATAAGTTATAAAAGAATCTACTATTTATTATTCTGAGCAATACTTTTGAGACATAAGGTTAAACAGAAATTATAGATTACAGTTAATCGAGGCCATTTAAAGATTAAAAACCAATTATAGATTACAGTTAAACAGGGTAATTTGTACGTAATGTAGAATTGGTCAATTGTAAAAACTTGTTATAAAATGTTTGCCATTTAACATTCCGAATAATAGTTTTTAACCTTTATATTTTACTTTACTACTTAAAAGGATAAATGACAAAATTTGTTTATAATAAACAAAATTTACTTTTATAACTTATTTTTTTGAGACTTTCTTACTGTGATATATTAATTCGCGAATTTCGGGATATCCTGTATATTTATAGAAAAGACTGCTTGTAACTTTTGATAATCTTTATTAAAAGACTTGTAATCTGAAATGTAATTTTAAATACTTTAAATTGTTTAGAATATTTTTAAAAAATTTTACATGCAGTGTATATTTGCTGTGGTATAAAATATTACTTGAAAATTTTATTATGATTTTTTAATAATTGAATTTTATTAGATATTTTTAAAAGGAAACTGTGTACATTGAGTCATGAACGAAATGTTATTCCATGATAAATCATTCAAGAGAATTCAGAATGTTTGTAAAAAATTTATTTTAATATCATAGATGTATATACAATTTA